CGGCACGCCGAGGAAGAAACACAACCAGCCCACATTCAACGACCGCTTCCTTTCCCCTTGCCTCCCTCACAACGAAGAAACACCTTGCACGACTACCAAGGCCAAAATCTTGTCTCCTTCCTTGTCCATGTCCTAGAACAAGCCTTTGGTATCAACAAAAAAAGAAGCGCTGTGTAGGGCTTACACAACAACCATAATATAGTTGGACCAAATCTGCCTCACATCGACATTCCTGCGACAAGAAAACATTCAGACACCCTGCTGTCCAGCTTTCGGCGATTCAATGGCAGCCACGACGGCTCCGACACCGTCCGTCATGACTCCGACTGCAAGCCCGAACCATCTTCGAAAACACATTTCCCCCGAGCGTATTACTTTGGGCGACGACGCCGGCCGCAAATCGGTGTCGGCAAGAATTCGGGACGCTCCCGCTTCTCCTGTCAGGGTGAACTTTCAAGCCGAGAACTGGGCCCAGCCATCCAATGCCAACATCGAGCTGGCACAACCCTACCAAGCAGAGTTTTCTACAGTTGATCGTTCCCGAGAATACAACGCCCCTACCCCTCCTTCGCATACCTCGGGCTACGACCAGGCTGAACGACAAATGCAAAGCCATGACAGAAATAAGCTGCCTCCTCTCAAAACGTCGAACTCCTACACTGCCGAACCCGATTACTTGAGTCCAGCCAGCTCTCTCACCCCCCACCAAAATGGCCATGATCAGGGCTACAGGCCGAAGCGGGGGACCCATGGATCGGACAGCTTCAGTGCTCACAGCGCAAGAGCTCAAGATGCCAATCGCCATAGTCGGGAATCGAACACCACCACTTCGAGCAACGCCCAACAGCAGGCATCGGCGCAGTCCTCTGCGACGACAAGCGCGAGCTCCGTCTCTGGCATCAACGAGTCATCCGAATACAAAGACGAGTCTCCCGAGAGCTCGATAATGGAGGGCAACATGCCAGAGAACAACTCTGTCCCCATGTTTCAGTACTACCACCATCAGGAGTTTCCTCCTCAGCGTGTCTCTAGTGTTCCTCAGGAGCTTGACGCTCGTCGTTCCTCTTCGAACCCCAGCCTCAACGCTGATGGAACCCCCGTCAACCGTCATCTGACGCCTACCGGTTTCACCAGAAGGACCTCCATGCCCCGACCTTCGTCGGCCTACTCTGCCATCTCGGATTATGCCCCCAGAGGGCGATCCCCAAATCTGATGCCTGGAGGATCACATATGCGGACACCATCAGGCACTCGCAGGTCCCCGGAAACGAGACCAGCATCATACGCGGAGCTACTGAACGTGCCGTACCCTCAGCCAGCACCTGCCCCGATCAGCTTTGATAATAACCAGTTGCGCAATGCCGTTGGTAACAATGCATCTCTCCTCGGAGCTCAAAAAACACTGGAGATGTATCGTCAAAACGTCAAGAAGACAAACGACTTTTCTATCCAATACTCTTTTGCCGTTTTCCTCATCTCTACCGCTCAAGAGCAAGGCCTGGACCCTAGCGAGCCAGCACCTCGCAAGGCAAACTCTAGCCCAAAGAATTCCGCATCATCAACTCCCTACGACCTTCTGCGAGAGGCAAAGGGTATACTCCAGAAGCTGGCCAGCGGTGGATACCCCTTTGCTCAATACTACCTCGCAGATGGATACGCCTCTGGTCTGTTTAGCAAAGGAAAGGAGGACTATAACCAAGCGTTCCCCCTCTTCGTTCTCGCCGCAAAGCATGGTCATGCTGAGTCCGCTTACCGCACGGCGCTATGCTACGAGTTTGGTTGGGGTTGCCGCAAAGATCCTGCTAAGGCTGTCCAGTTCCTCCGCATGTCTGCGTCGAAGCGTCACCCAGGCGCAATGTCCCGACTCGGCAAGGCTTGTCTCTCGGGTGATTTGGGAGAGAAGCGGTACCGCGAGGGTATCAAATGGATGAAGCTCGCAGCAGAGGCTGCCGATGCTGTCTACAGCGCAGCTCCGTATCAGCTGGCCTGCTTGTACGAGACGGGTTACGGTGACGACATCTTCAAGGACGAGGTCTACGCAGCAGAGCTTTTCACCGCCGCCGCAGAACTTGGCCACCCAGAGGCCAACTTCCGCATGGGTGAGGCATATGAATATGGGAAGCTCAGCTGCCCCCGCGATCCAGCACTAAGCGTGCACTTCTACACTGGTGCTGCTGAGCGAGGACATGCCGGTGCTATGATGGGCCTTTGTGCATGGTATATGGTCGGTGCGGAACCGATCTTGGAAAAGGACGAAGAAGAAGCTTACGAGTGGGCTCGCCGTTCAGCCGAGATGGGTAAGTTGAGAGACTTCTGCAAAATATCAACTGAATGAGGCAATTAGGCTAATCACACCTATGCAGGTTTCGTCAAGGCCCAGTACGCTGTGGGCTACTTCACAGAGATGGGCATCGGCTGCCGGCGTGACATCTTGGAGGCCAATGTCTGGTATGTCAAGGCTGCAGACGCAGGCGATGAGCGCGCGAAACAGCGATTGGCAATTATCCAGGCAGCTGTCAGCGGCGGCACCCCGATGGAAGTCGCCCCTCCCCGTAGTGGAAAGATCAAGAAGGGCGGCGAAGAGAAGGATAAGGACAAGGATTGCATTGTGATGTGAGGAGTCACACTCAAGGAGCCGTATCGACGGGATCACACCAAAACACACCGGCGTTGGACAGGAGGTCAAGAAAATTCAATTTCACTAATAATGACGAGGAGGGGCGCCTCTATTTCCGGAGAATGTTCAAGGGTTGACTTTTGCCGACGTTACTCGACGGTTGGATAACGGACAAGAGCCGTTTCAATTGGCATATCACCGGTTTTCTTCGTTTTCTCGCACCCATGGGCATCTACAAAAGAGGATTGGAACTATGGGCGGGTGTTGACGGGATGCAGTGAGGGGAGTTGCTGCGCGTTGAAGAAAGGGGCAAAGCATGTCTGTCTCGACGACCCAAAGACTATTCATCTTCCCGTCTCCCACCAATTTTCGGTCTTTTCGTTTTGTTTCTGGTCTTTTTTCTTCATCCAAGGCGGGGGCTTTCATGAAACTGCATTTGCATTGCATGAGAATCCGGGCACAAACGGGTGCTTCATGATCTAATCATGGTCGGAATTTCTAGCCTGGGAATTCCATTGAACAAGGCGTTTGGAGAGGGGGGAAACACATTGCGATTCAAGACAGACAAGAGTTGCGCGGGTGTGTACACGCCTGGCTGAGCCTTCAGAGGAGCCTGTACATACGAGATACCATAATCCCCTGTCTCGGACAGGCGTTTTTGAGCTTTGTAATCCTGTGTTTGATGAGTGACTTGCGAGAATCAGACGATGGCGTTCACAGCGGTGGTGGCTGTCTGGTTTCTGGTTGATCCCGGCTCTTTGGGTTGTTTAGGCCACTGAGTGCCTCGTTCATCAATTTTCGAGACAGGTTTCCCTTGAGAGGTCCCTCTCAACTTGCGTTACGTGTTCGTCTGTACTCGGCCGAACCTCTCTAGTTTTTTTTTCCCTCGCGGTGATTCAGAATCCGGTCCAGCGTCAGAGGCTCCTCCATTGTGGATCATCGCCGTTGCGTATACACATGAAAGACGTGTGTGTCTTCCAATGCCTCAAGTTTTGGCGTGTGACGTGCCAAGACTAAGCTTGATTCAAAGTAGGCCCGATGAGGCGTTGATGAGAAATTTCCCACCCTCCTCCAGTCTTGGTTTCTGGTTTCCCCTTCTCAAGCTTGACATCCCATATAGGTGAAATGTATGGGGATGAGGCGCCCGGGTTTGAGTTTGAGAGACGTTGAACTTGTGGTCTTTGCTTTTCGCCTTGCGGCGATACTGCCGCCGCGCCGCGTGTCATTGAGGTTGCAGGCGACAGGCGTGTAAGAGATTTTGAGAAAGCTCGGGGCGCACACTTTTCTTTGTTTGACTCGTCAGACTCGTCAGCGTTTTCTCCCTGTTGACATGGCGTCCCTTTCTTCGGATTGTGGGAGGAAACGGTAGATTGAGGGCGCGCGGCTTTTGTGACTTGATTGGGGGAAGGGAAAATATGTTCTGGAACATTATTTAGGGCTGAGATCTTTCTTCTTTCAAACAGAGTGGCTTTCCGTGGTGTGTCGTTTGTTTCTGAGATGTTTTGGTCTGGTTTGCCTTCTATGGTGGTCTGTGGAGCGAGTCTCTTGTGAACATGGTGTTCGGTAGCTTGCCGGGTGGTGTGAAATTGTAACGGGTTATGTATTGTTGCTCTTCTACATCTGTATCTGTTGCAAAGCTCACGGATATTGCCCTGCACTCATTCATCGCCAGGAAGTCCTGCATCAGGCAGTTCTCGGCGGAAGTACATTGCTTAGGATACTGCGTCTGAACCTGAAAGAAGTGATAGATGTTGATTAGGTCCGGGAAAGCATCATCGTGTGAGCTGTTCAGAGTAGCGCCGTGTCTTTCCGGAGGGTAGACGATCTACCCTTGAGGAGACTTCTTCTTTACGTTGATATGACGAACCTTCCAATGGTAGTTGTCATCTCGTTGGGTGCGAGTGCACTTCAATCCGCAACAACTACCTCTTTCCTAACCACGACGATGATCTAGGTCACGGTCTGTCAGCTTCTGAGATGTCACGGCAGCAATTGTTATTGCCAACTAAGACAAATGATCTCAGCGTGAAGACCGCGTCTTCTTATTTCTCATCTATTTTTGCTTGGTGTAGAATGCCTGCAGCCTGTTCTCCCTAGGAATTCGGAGGCACGGGTGTTATCAACGTCGCAATAAAGTGTCCAACCTCTAGTTATCATGTCAGAGAAGAACATTCAAGAACCGTTGCATAAAGACGAAATTGGAAGATCCCAAGTGTACTCCATGGGTAAGCTGCATTTGAGAGAACTTTCTCCTTCTATCCTAACAGACGGGTCACTGACGAAACATTTGTTTCCCAACAATAGCTGATGTGCAATATAGATGCCTCAAGATCAACCAATGGCCCACGTGATACTTGAGACGGTTCTGACTGGATACTATATCTCACTGCTTGACGTAAAACGACCTTAGGTACTCTTCCGCCGCGGCCTCTCCTGAGGCGAGCCCCTCTTCTTTTGCCCACTTCTGGTACTCTGGCGTTTTGAAAAACTCCTTGTAGTCAACACCTCCCTCTTGATCTACCCAGCTGAACTTGCCGTGTTCGTCTAAGAAGTTGCCTATTGTTAATCATTAGCAATAGTCAATTTGGTGCTGGGACTGCTCGAGGAGTGGTGAACAGAGGAGACACGTAGGAGTTTCCACGCCGCGACCACCGCAAACTTACCGTAAATTGGATGCTTCGTGTCTACACAGATCTTTATCAGCCATCCTCAATATCCTAATTCCAGTTTTGCTTACCTGTGAATTGAGATATGGAAGTAGACTTTCTCACGGAATGCTCTGAACCCCAGTCCATCAACTGTGACCAGTCGGCACAGGTACGTTCGACACCGTCCCAGTTAATGACCGAGTGGAAATCGTGGAGAGTCCAATGAAGTAGAACGGGGGTCAAATCTGCCTGGCATTTCACGGACTCCATGATATGATGGAGACAGTGTCCTGAGGCAAAGTCGGAATCAGCTACAAGTTCTCTCACATATTTGTACATCAATGCCGCCGGGATCCAGTCCGGACTCAAGCACGCATTCTTCTAGGACTTCAACTGACCAATATGACTCTTCTGAGTTGCATCCTCCTTCTCCGTGGTATTGGGAGTGTAATAGTACTCTCTATGCGCAACCTGGTATAAATAGTTCTACAACGGAGTAAGACTTTAGCATTCGAAACGTCGCCGGGAGAATGGACATCGAGGCTTACGATGCAGTGTAAGTTATGCACCATAGCAAGGCCCCCAAGACTTCAATACAGTCAGCCAGATCGTACTGCCAACAAAAACGTTATCCTTGTATGAATACTTACTAGCCGCCTTCTCCATCGTTGAAAGGTATCGCATCTGCCTCCATGCCAAGTCGGTATACCTCGGATTCCGGGATTCGGTTGGCAAACGCTGCGATTGATTAGTGAACCGGTGTCGAGGCTCCGCATCAACCGACACAAAGGGCTTGCCTGAAAGTAATGCAGACCAATTTGCATCTACCTCTGGGCTCGGGTTGCCCAAAAGTGGGTGGTCATGACCTGGCGTCACTGGATTTACGGGCTGTGGGTTGAACTCAACCTTGTCCTGGAAAGAGAGACGGTCTAGTCAGTGAAAGAAACAACAACAACTCAAGAATTGCTCCGAAGTTGTTCAACATACCCACACATGTACCGTGTCTGGTGTAGTGAGTCGAGGGCAGAATGGCTTGTAGATGACTTCACGGGCATAGTAAAGTACTGCCCACGTATAAATTGCTAGGATGAGGAGTGAAGCAAGTATTTGGAGTGCTCTCCTTGACTTTGATGTGCCTCTACAGGAGTTCCATTTTCTCTGATCCAAGGGGTATTCTTCGTGGTCGTCGTCGGTCTTCACGTCCTCGAAACCGTCGTCAGAGACCGGCTTATACTTGACTGCAGGTGTTGCAGACATGTCTTGTGTGGTCGTTGTTTCACAAGCGCGCTGCAGGCAGCATTAACGATAGTCGGTACGGAATAGGTGAGTTCGTCAAAAGAAAGTACGAGTGACCGCGCTGCCACGGAAGGGGAGACATTGTCAATCTGGAGGATGCCGGCCGGCCATATCTGATGGTTTGTACAGACTGCTCACGAATCTCTGCGTGGGCAGTAATACTTGGTGAATCTTTCGCTTCTTAAAACTACTCTAAGAGAGCCCCTTGGTGTAGAATTAGCAGTAGGCGAAAAAGACTCCCACCGGATGCGAGAGGCTATGCCACAAAGGTGAGAGGCCCGGAAGATAGAGTTCATCAGATATCAGGTGGCTAGGAAGACCGTCACATCATGATCCTGGGGCGGGAAGTATCCTCACGCCAAGGCTTGTTGACAGCAGATGGAACGTCAATCTTGTACCCTGGTATCATGGACACACCCCAAGAATTAATTCTGCCTCCTCCGTGCCGTTACTCCGATCTCCAAGCCTGGGTGTGGGTTTGGTGGATGCTGGTATTATCAGAAGGTAACGGTGAACCCTCCTTCGATAACCGGTCTAGACCGACTGCCTGGGCAGTCTTTGTCCTGCCACCTTTGCCTGACTTGACTGACGCCGGCCTCTTCGTCCTTGAGGCACCCTTCAGAGTCTCCTGTCTCAGTCAACCTCAGACTCGAGAGTCCCTAGACGTGCTATTTGCTGCCACACCTAGACTTGCACACTTTAGGAATCTTCACACCATGTCGTCTCTTTCTGAAGATGCGAAGCCCTTCTTACCGAGCGAAAGTGGCGATTCCAGTTTCGACTTAGCCCCGGCTGAGAGATCGAAACTGCGGCAAGACCGATCGACTGAGTCCCGCTGGCGAAAGAGACTCTGGGTCAGCCATGTTATCTTCTTGGGATTCAACGTTGCGTTCCTCATCTACAATATCAGTGATGTTGGGAAACACATCGGGCCAGAGGCCGCAGTGCTCGAAAGAGCCTACTGTGAGAAAATTTCCTTCGCCTAGTATCATGGTCATGCAATGATACTGATATCGAATGTCGTAGCACCGGCACAGATGGCTATTCGTTATACAGTCAAGGAGGAAGCCCCTATGTTGCCCGACAACGTGCTCACCGGTCCGCCCGGCCCTGAGGCTGATAAGGCGTGGGAAGAACTTGAGAAACGTGAGTTCAACGCCACAGCTCAGCATTTGCTACATCAGATCCTAAAACTTCCATGAAGCATTCATGCTCAGGTTCTCCGAAGATGAGATGAACAGAATGCAAAAGACCTCGCTCGCCCTCAAAGACGGAAGCGGGTATATCGGTTATTTGGAGTCTTTCCACATGTTGCATTGTGTTGTAAGTGGCGTCTTCCTTGATTTACCATTCCCGAGAATGAATTCACCTTCTTCGCTGTCACATCACTGACTGGCCAACAGAAGAGTGCTTGGAAGTCCCAATACATGGATCACTATGGCAGTGGACATTCGACCAAGCCCGGTCATCTAGCTCATTGTCTCAACGTACTCATCCAAGGTATCATGTGCAACGCAGACACATCGATCGGAACATATCATTGGAAAGAAGGGGGGACTATCAAGGGTAAGGAGATGATGGACATTGAGGCTAACAGGACCGGACATCGCCAATGCACCGACTTTAGCAAGCTTCAAGCTTGGGCTACCAAGCGAACTCTTGACTTTGATGTCCACGATACTGACAAGTTTCTGCGTACCTTGAAGCCGGAACACTAGGGTCTGGTAAATAGCATCGTTGTTGATACTTGGAGGCACGAGCGAAAAGACATTCAAAGATCTTCGTTCATGGCCACATCTCCATTGACTCTCAGGAATAAATGTAGCTAGCTTCTAGATACAAGTCTGAACAGTTACCAGCCCTGGATAATGAGATCGTTGCGACATCTTCCATGAACCGCAGTCAATGTGACTTATGAATTAGATACGCTGACCAAAACACAGCGATGCTGGATAGCCGAAAGATCCAGGCCACACTGTCCTCGACCCCGAGAACCTTTAGAACTGCCAAGATGACTGCGCAAACTAGAGTTGAGCCAATTTGAGGGAGAGATATCGCCATGTTGTGCAGTCCTAGGATCCATGCAACATCGCTGTCCTGCTTTCCAACGGATAGCTCAGAGATCTCTGCGCTGATCAAGGCAAATGGAGCCCACATCGTTACGGCAGCCGTGGATCCCATCATGGCGACAACGATGGCCGCCGTGGCTCCGCTGCGTGCGACAAAGGTGAGATGCATGCAGTATCCCAAGAAGCACTGCGACGCAAACCAGACTCTGGGAAGGTTGTGAGAGAGTGCCGGCTTGTAGCGGTCAAGTATCTGAAGCAAAATACTCGCAGCGAATGCTCCTAATGCGAAAGCAAAAGAGGCAAAGAAACCAAAGTCCTTTGCACTTTCGATGAGTTCTAGATCTGGTTCCCCAAACTGCCTTTGCCTTTGCTCGAGTTTGTCAGAAAGGGCTGGGAGATGTTAGTATTGGAAGTACTTCAACAGTTCTGGTCTTCTACCTGTCTCATAAGCGAACCTGAATCAAGTCCACGAGTTAGTCACTGGGCGCAAAAGTTTTTATAGGAGTCGGACGCTGCTTACGTTGACATGTAGTATAAAACAGGAAACCATCCTGCCCACGCCCAGAATTGGATCTCGCAAACCCGGCGGCTGCGTGGAGGGATTTGTTTCCACCGTTTGGCTAGCCCTGTCGGTGAGATGATGGACCATGACTGTTGCGCAAAAGAGGGCTGGCGGTCACGCAAAGGTGCGACGTTCTGGTCAGTAATGAAATAGCACGTGAAACCGACTGTCGTGAAGGTACAAGCTGCAACCACAACGGCGAGTAACTTGAAACGGTCATCGCTGTTTACATCAGTCGAGGACCACTGGGCATCCACAAAGCCAACAGAAGAGAGCACCACGTTTCCTAGCACGTTCCATCGCATGGCCCAGGAGGCTGCGACAGACTGTTGACTGGGAGGGGTGTTATCTACTATCAGAGCCCTGACGCCGACTGCGTATGCCTGCAGTGCAAAAGTAGTGACAACGACTGAGAAGACTGCAAGAATCTGCGTCGGTAGGTGCGCCGAGCTGGCGGAACGATCAACACTGGAACTCCATGCCCAAGTTGTGAGTTCCTCTGAGTACGCCAATGCTAGCAGAAAGATAGTTGCGCATAGCGAACCTCCTACGATGAATGGCTTCCTTCTACCCCAGGCGTGTTGTGAATCGTCGCTGAACACACCGAGAATAGGCTGCGCAAAGACGCCAGATATAGGACCGGTGACCCATACCAAGGATATAATGGATTTGGGAATGCCTAGCGAGATCAAGTAGGGCTTTGAGCTATTCGTCAGTCACTCAGCTGGGGTTGGGTTGGAGGGGAAAAGACTGACAGTGCCGCTCGAAGTCAAAAGAAACCAACACACTTGAAGGCCTAGACTAGGAGACGTGAGCAGGAGCAAGCCTGAAAGCTTGAGCAAGGTGTACTTCTGGGGAATTTCTTCCCCAAGCTCTGCTAGTTCTAGGTTCTCTGTGCTAGACGCAGATCCGGGAGAGTAGAGAGCCCCTGAGGTCGGCTCGCCCACTGTGACACGAGGCATTTCCTGTATGGACAGGATGAGGTGAGTGACGCTGCCTCCTGTTCCACATTGATCGGAGATACTTGCAAGAGCTCAAAGTTGATTTGTTATAGTAGAAGATGTAAGCATGACCTGGTGTCGCCGAGTCCTCGCCGGAGACCGCTGTCTTTTTCCGGCGTGGAAGAGCCATACGCTTCCTAGCCCTGGTCAATTACGGATAGATACTTTGCTGCGGAACACTCCGGCGGCAACGGCGTCATGAGTCGGATGCACATGCTGGTTGTCCCTGGAGTGTGTAGCGTGTAACTTCTCACTTTCCTCAGTCCTTCTTTCATGTCCACGTATTACGCATATTACCCATGCGGGCGGGTACCTTGTAAACTCTGTTTATCAACCGAGTTCCTTGGCCCGTTCTTGCCGACGAGCCACCCTTGTCAGGATCAGCACAGTGCCTGATGAATGGGGCTGGACATAAGATTGGAATTCTATGATGAATGATATTGCCGATATGGCTTGATTGGTAAAGGGAGTGGGCACTTGTGTATCGAATAAACGCTGGTCAGTGGTGCCAACGATCTTCTCGAGTTCCAAGGCATGTATCCGCCAACTTTGCCCTCCATCAAGAACAACGCTTACATGGCACATTACTCCGAACCAACACACGACTACTAACGCTGATGGTATCGCCAAAGCTAGACTCTTGACATCTCAGTATGTCAGATGGTTACGCATCGGTAAGCTGGTCTTCTCTACCACGAAAAGACCAGCTATTCCTACTTTTCATGATACGATTCAGTGAACCAGTCGTCAGGGTTTCTATCGGAGCGTACATCTACTACCAACTTAAATCACTCGATCCATCATTATCCAGTGCTGAAGTGATTACACAATCCGCATATCTTCAGACGGCTTATACTATTGCGCAAGCTATCTCATCTTTGCTATGGGGCGTGGTGTCGGATTCTCCCAGAGGGGGAAGGAAGCTAGTTGTGCTAACGAGTTTGTCTGGATCATGTAAGTCAACACTGTAGGGGTATCACATATGGGTTGCGAAAGATCCATCTAATTTCTGATGTCAACTGACTTTCTAAATGTCATGCACAGTCATAAGTTGTGCGCTGTTTGGTTTCATCACTAGCTTCAAGCAGGCCGTCTTCCTTCGAATTTTTGAGGGGATAACCAACGGGAATGTCGCTATGGTGAGAACGATGGTCTCCGAAGTTGTTCAGGAAAAGCGGTAAGTTGTTTCCCATTATGGAGGATCAGAAATATAGGATTATAAACAACCAAGACTGACCGACATACTCAAAATAGTTTCCAAGCCAGGGCTTTTGCACTATTACCAATTGCTACTCGAATGGCCATAATTATCAGCCCACTCGTGGCAGGTTGGACTGTTCAGCTTGAAACAACAGGCCAAGACGACAGTTTTGTGAGGAGACACCCATATGCACTGCCTGCCTTACTGAACGCCGGCTTCTTGCTTCTTCTCCTAATTGCTGCATTTCTGTTTCTTGAAGAGGTATGTTGTCATCAATAAATGCTCAGTTTCGACTTATTGCTTCCCTTTAGACTGACGAAGGGCAGACATCAAAATCTCTAAGAGGTCGATTCGACCCTGGAATCGCTTTCTCCAAGAACTTGCTGTCATTATTCCGCTTGGTTCCATTCAGAAAGGCAGATGACGCTCAGTACTCACGTATAAACTCAGAAGAAGAGGATGGAGAAGAGATGGGTTTCTTGAAGGAGACTGACGGGAATGATCACTCTGGCGCTTCCACACCCCCAGAGGTTCCCGTTACACCAAGTGAAAAGAACTTGAAGCTCCCTACACGTCGCATTTTCACCACTAACATGCTCCTGGTTCTATTGGCAACTCTTCTTTATGAACTCCATCTTAACAGCGTCAGCGTTGCCATGGCCAATATGCTAGTCGATCCGGTTTCCACCAAAGAAGCCGAACTGTCAAGAGTTCTGCCATTCCGCTTCGGGGGCGGCGCCGGATTTAGGCCGAAGTCTCTTGCCTGGTACTCAACTGTGTTTGGTAAGATCTTAAATACCTCACTTTGTTCATTGATAATGTGAGAACTCCTCCATATGAAGAGCTATTGGCTAACATGACGCAATATAGGGATTGTCGGTATTCCCATGCAGATTTTTGTTTACCCTTGGCTTAATCAGCGCCTTGGCTGTTTGAGACTCTGGCAACTATTCTATCTCGGATTCCCCTTGCTTTATTTTGCATACCCATATGTTGCTGTCATTCCATCTTCTACACCGCCTCCATCCGAAAAGACTGGTGTGGCTGTATGGGCGTTTTTGGTGGTAATTCAAACCTCAACATCTCTCATAACGAGTGTTGTGACGCCCTCGCAGCTGCTACTGGCGAATTTCTCCTCGCCTCATCCATCGGCACTGGGAAGGACTCATAGTATCACGTTCTTCACGTCGATGGCGGTTCGAGCTGCCAGTTCAGCCATGGCTGGAAATATGTACGCTTTTGGGTCGACACACAACTTGACTGGGGTCATATTCTGGTTTAGTAGCGCTGTGTCGCTTATAGCTATCATTGTCACCCGGTTTGTGAGAGAAGGAAATGGCCATGAAATCAAGCTTCTGGGAGAGAACTAAGGCGAACTAAGACTAGTAGTGGACTCGAAAGACTCAATCACACTACAAAAGTTATCTTTCTTTTGCCTATACTTGTACTCAACCATTGATAAGGACCATGTATATTCTGTTCTTTGATTCCCAGAAAGTAATAAGCAGATGGACAAAGAAGACAAAGATGTTGTGCTAGGCCAATCGAATAGTTGGGTCAGCATGTTCTAGACACGGAAGCTTAGAAACTTCTTTTTATTACCCATCTGTAACTAAGAACAATTTGGCACACACTGCATAACTAATGAGGTTCTACTTAATTCATGTTTTGCACGAACTTCTCCCCTGCCGTCTGATTGCTTGCAGCCTCAAGCGTCTTGTATACGTCCTCAATCTCTTCCTTGTAATCCTTCTCGACCTCCCTCCGAAGCACCAATTGCTTGACAGTCAGCTTGATAGGTTTTTCCTTGCTGGCCAAGAATACAGTCTGTCTCGGAATGGCCACTGCTTTCGCAGAAATCTCATTGTGTCCCACAATAGTCTTC